AATATTAGTTGCAGAGAGATGAAAATACTTCCTTCTGATTGGACACACTGTAGGCTACATCTACATGTAAAACTGTATTTGTAGCCCCTGTGGGATCCCAGATAAACGCAGAAAACGGTTATATGGCGCCTGATTGCGACAGCTGAACAGCGATTGATACTGTCGCGATCAGACTGATGTGCTGGTATAGGAAATTCTATCCCTGACTTGGTGATTCAAACCGTTCCTGGTCCAATCGACTTTGGGCACTTCAGAACCCAGAACATCCTGTGGGCTGGTACAGGAACACCCCCCAGGGTTGATTGGCCAAGGGCTAATGTCCAGCCCACGTCCATATTTCAATAAATTGAGGACCCTGAGATTTGGACAGGGTGATTCGTATGGAGCCTGTTCTATTTGACTGGCGAATCACGGACTTTGTCTGACTTGCTCCAGTCGCAGGATAACTCTTGGTAAAAGTTTTATTTCTGTTTTTATTCCCTTTTATTTTATAGTGAATAGTCAATTGTGTGTCTTTTTGTATTTTCTGTATTATCTGTAAATCTTTTTTCTTTGTACATATTTTATGCACTGCCCACTTTCGGGATATTAAATCATAAAATTAATAAGTAACTTCTGGGTACTTAGGCTTGGGCTCATATCTCCGGAGAGATTGTATTGTAGTGTCTATGTGCTCAGTCAAGTTCATTGCCAATCTGTATGCAATTGCATTGCGTGTTGACAGATAACATGCAGATTGTAAAGTAGCCTATCTGCCAGACGGAGATCTGTGTGTGTGTGGTGGCCCAGCAGACCAGTCTGCGGACAAACTGTTGGGTGGTGGCAAGCTACCATTTGTTGTGTGTCTGGTGTGGGGGTGTGTGGACAGTGGAAGATTGATTAACACTGGGGTTCTAGCTTGTAGGATAGCTGGAGGAATCCTGGAAGGGTGTGCCAATTGCTAGACTGCTCCTAAACCCTTAGAGTGCACCAGATTGTATATAAGATTCGTATCTGCCTGTGTGTTGTCAGCCAGCTGGATTGGAGTGGAGTCTCCCTCTAGTGGTGCCCAGAGGCAGTGTGGGCTGTAAAAGTGTATCACTGTCAGTCTTACATATTCAAAGTAAGTCCCCCTCATTCCCTCTTTACCCCAAGTCACGGCCGTACGTGCACGCCTCGGTTAGCTAGTTGACGTGGGCGTGCGTGTGCGGTATGGATCCGTGACAAAAGAATACAATGTTTTTCACTATAACAGTCCTTCATGTGGTTTGCAGGTATGTTTAATAGCTATATATAGGTAAAATTTAACAAAGCAAAGAATACATTCCCTAAAGGCTGCATATTTTTGATATATGAAAACTTTAAACTAATTGAAGGGGAAAAAGTAGGACAGAAAAGATAATGGAAACATAAAAGAGAAAAGGGCCGAGTTGGAACATTAGAGGTCAGGACCGGCAGCTGTGAAGATTGAAAACTGAGGTTGAGGTTGGCTTTAGCAGTTTGCTATTTGGGGTGGTGGTTAAGGAAATACAGGGTAGTTATTTCATAGGCAACATTATCTAAAGTTTTATATCCTTCTGAATCCTGAAACACATTTTACTCATTCATTGTATAGTTAAAGAATATGTAAACTCAACATTTCATATTCCTGATATGTGCCTGTTGTACCATGTGCTTGTATGAAAAGGTATCCCTGGTGTTCCACACCATGGTCAGTTCTCTACGTATGCTGGGAACTCAGTGTTCTCTCCTCCAATGATCAGATTTGTTCTCACCCCCCTCACAACCCCCCCCCCCCCCCCCCCCCCCACATCCATTAATTTGTTCGTTTAGTGTGCTACTGCTTCTCCTCCCCCAGTTTTTATGCAGCTGAGAACACAGAGAATGTGATCACTTATAAAAAACAGGGAAAAAAGGTGTATAGATTCTTTTTTATATATATATACACAAATGTTTTGTCTTTATTTCTGTTTGAAACTGGATGGGTTGTTTTACAAGGCAAGGGTTTACAATCACTTTAACCAATTCAATACTGGGCACTTTCACCCCCTTCCTGCCCAGGCCAATTTTCATCTTTCAGTGCTGTAGCACTTTGAATGAAACTGCGCGGTCATGCAACACTGCACCCGTATGAAATTTTTAACATTTTTGTTTTAGGCAGATAGAGATTCTTTTGGTGGTATTTAATCACCACTGGGTTTTTTTTTTTTGTTAAATGAAAAAGACAAAAGAAATTTAAAAATTTTTTCTTCATTTCTGTTATAACATTTTGCAAATTAGTAGTAGTTTTTATCTTCATTAAGAGCTGTAATTCCTAAACCCTTCCTCCAATTTGGATGTACATACCCTCATATTAAACCGGAGAGTGTGCACTTTCAGCTCATATCCATTATATAACTATAGCTTAAATATGTTTTGTTAAATACCTGAAAAAAACTAAAATTGTGCCTGTGTCCAAATACATAAGAAACCTAACTGTATATAGTGGTGGTCAGCAGGAAGAACTAATGAGCACTTCTGTGAGTGTTGGTGTCAGAAGAAAAACTTTAGTTAGGGATTACTCAACATTATAGCGATATTCAGCAGTGTGAGCAGCAGGAGAAATAAGCATTCCTTTGCTTCTTTGCAGGTACAGAGCTTGTAAAGAACATTTTTTGTAAGCAACAGAATTGCTTTATGTGCCATGAGTATAGTGAACCTTCAGTAAGCACATATTGGAGTTATCTATGCAGTGATATCTTAATATAATTTATGGAATGACTTTCACATTTCTGCAAGATTGTGCATCAATATTTCTTTATTAAATGTAGAGACTCGAGTCACACTGCTGTGACCCCAAAGTAGTGTAACTTCCTAGTGACTTTTTTGATTTAACATTCAGTCTATGGCACTTATGTTGCACCAAAGTCGCAGAAAAGTAGTACAGGAACCTTATTTTTTTGTTGTTGCTGCAACTTGAGTCACATTGATTTAGGCTTGGTTCACATATATGCATTTTGCGTTTGATGCTTTCTCCAATGTTTTTGCAGTTTGTTTTGCATTTTTCTACATATTTTTACTGCTTTGTTAACGCACTTTGCGTTTTGTTCAGCTTTTTTTTTTTTTGTTAAAGTGGAATTTTTTTGTTTTTGCTGGGCAAAATAAAAATGTAAAACACGGCAAAAATGCACTACCGTGCATATCAGCAGCTTCGCCATTGAACTCTATTTTAGCAACCACTTTAATTATATTGTTATGAATAAACAAGCCATTCTTCGCTTCCTTTGTTTTTTTAACAAAGAATGTTTGTAGAAAAATAAATAGTTGCATCACATTAACTAGAAGTACTGTAGATTATATTCTTCTGACACATAAAACTGCTAAAAACCCCATTATCCCTATGACTAAACAAAGAAGGTATCCTTTTCTACCCACACTTCCTATTGTTAACACATGACCAATTAGAATATTACTATAATTGGTTTTTAAGCCTTTTGAGAATCCTATTTAGTATGCAAAGCAAAAGGTTTGGAGATTTGAGCTTTGTGAGTGTGGGGTTACTGAGGTTAATGATTTAAAGTGGAGCTTTGTCGTCCCCCCGAAAAAAAAAAAATTTAAAAGTCAGCAGCTACAAATACTGTAGCTGCTGACTTTTAATACAACAGTCTAAAAGGAGAGCCAAGGACCTTTTAGACTGTTTTATCTCTCTTAATTGTTCAGAAGAGTGTTGAGCAGCCTTGCTTCGGCTGGCATTATTTGCCATTCATATGTGATCCATCATTGTGGTATCTTTCAAGCGCCCCTATTTGTTGTTTTCTTCTTGACTTTTAATATAAGGGCACTTACCTCTCCAGGGGGTCCAGCGCAGGGGCGGACTGACAACTCATGGGGCCTCCGGGCAATAGGGGATCAAGGGGCCCCTGTATCCTAGCCCACACTCAAAAACCACACCCAAAAAAAGCCTATGAAAGCTACCAGGGGCACTTCATGGGGCCTCCTACTGACCCTGGGCCCTCGGGCAGTGCCCGAGTTTTCAAAGGGTCAGTCTGCCCCAGCGATGTCCTCACCCATGCCGATTCTTTAATTGGCTTTTGGGGGCTAGTGATATCATCTTCAATAACTTAACTATATTCCCCTCACACACATTCCTGGAAGTACGGCTCATTAATGGCGGGTGCTGTTATGACTACCAGCTGGGGCTGGAAACATCATAAGCAAATGTACATATTCACCAGCACACCATGGATCTCCAATATTGTCCAAAAAAGGTTTTTATTGCAAAAGATCACATCACAAAAGAAAGTGCAACATTTCCGAGCCATGCAGGACCCCTTCGTCAGGCATGTGCCTTATCACATGCCTGATGAAGGAGTCCTGCTCGGCTCTAAAAACGCTGCACTTTTTTTTGTGATGTGATCTTTTTGCAATAAAAATCTTTTTTGGACAATATTGGAGATCCATGCTGTGCTGGTGAATATGTACATTTGGTATCTTCAGTAAGGGAAACCGGAAGTGAAGCCTTTTGGCTTCACAGCCTGTTTCCTTCTGCTCATTCGTGAAGCGAATGCACTTTGTGAATGGGACTGCACAAGGCAGGGAGGGAACATTAGGAATCTAATGGATACAAATGTCTCCATAAAGAGCTTACCCTGTCCCTGCATACTGCTGGATCACTTAAGGCTGGCCCCTTTTGCAGGTATAGCTATATGAAACATTAAAAATAAGTGCTTATACTGTTTAAAATCCAGTAATATACTGTCTCACCCTGCTCTGCTCAAGCACAGTTGCTCTCTATTTTTTTGGTCCTGTGCTGAAAATGTAGAGGCCAATTTACTAAAGATAAAGATTTACTGCTGCTCAGGGCTTCAGCAAAATGGCAGCCTCCAGTAAGAAGAAACAAGAACAATGCTGGAGGCAATTCTAATTTTGGTAACATAATTAATTATGTGGAATATACACTATATTGCCGAAAGTATTGGGACACCCCTCCAAATCATTGGATTTTGATGTTCCAATCACCTCCATGGCCACAGGTGTATAAAATCAAGCACCTAGGCATGCAGACTGCTTCTACAAACATTTGTGGAAGAATATGTTTCTCTCAGGAGCTCAGTGAATTCAAGTGTGGTACCATGATAGGTTGCCACCTGTGCAATAAGTTCATCCTTGACATTTCCTTGCTACTAAATATTCCACGGTCAGCTGTTAGTGGTATTGTAACAAAGCGGAAGCAACTGGGAACAACAGCAACTCAGCCACTAAGTGGTAGGCCACGTAAAATGACAGAACGAGGTCAGTGTATGCTGAAGCACACAGTGTGCAGAAGTCACCAACTGTCTGCAGAGTCAATAGCTAATGACCTCCAAACTTTGCTTGGCCTTCAGATTAGCACAACAGTGTGTAGAGAGCTTCATGGAATGGGTTTCCATGGCCGAGCAGCTGCATCCAAGCCTTACATCACCAAGTGCAATGCAAAGCGTTGGATGCAGTGGTATAAAACACTCCACCACTGGACTCTACAGCAGTGGATATAATAGAGAGATGGGGTGTTCCTCTAAATAAAAATATATATGGATGGCCGCTCACCTCCTACTGTGGACCCATAAATTATTACAGGTCAACCAAACATAGTAATTCCAAAAAGATGCTCTAGATGGCAGTAGAGAGCTGACGACAGGCACCCCTTCAATGAAGATATAAAGGGGACTCTTCTCAGCTTAGCTCCACATACAGAAAGAACAGAGGACATCTCCTATAGTGTAATACTGTTTTAATTACACATAAAATAGTTCCGGAGTGTCACTCACACGACAGAAGCAGTAACAGATCGATTTAAAACTCCCGCTCCGTAAAAGGCCATCAATGACATCACTAGGCTCTGCCCCACATTCGTCAGGGAAGCCACATGGTTGGTGGCGTAATGTGTGGGGCGGAGCCTAGTGACGTCAATATGTACAATTCAGCCATAGCCGGATATATTGTGCGAAAGGTATGCTCTTAACCAGCGCAGGAGGGTGAGAACTGTCTGCATGAAGTATAGTGTTGCCTGCTGTTGCGAAAAAGCTTAGTAGCCAAACAATTGGTTGTATCTTTAAAAATTTGTAAATCAAGAAACGTGATAGTATTGCTATGCCAATACATCGTAAAAGTCAAATTGAAATAATTCCTATTCAATAACAGCATAAACTCATCCAACATCTCTGTGATACCAGTCCAGATGAAAAACACGTCGTCAGTATACCTGTACCAGCAAAGGGCATGGTCCAGGTATTTGGCGAGAGCGTCATCCGAAAATATACAACTCTCCTATCCCCCCAGATAGAGATTGGTGTAAGCCGGGGCACAACAGGTGTCCATGGCGACGCCCTATATCTGGAGATAATTGGAGCCTATGAAAGTGCAATGCAAAGTGTCGGATGCAGTGGTGTAAAACACGCTGTCACTGGACTCTATAGAAGTGGAGACCTGTTCTCTGGAGTGACGAATCACGCTTCTCTGTCTGGCAGTCGAATGGACATGTCTGGGTTTGGCGGTTGCCAGGAGAACAATACTTGCCTGACTGCATTGTGCCAAGTGTAAAGTTTGGTGGAGGGGGGATTATGATGTGGGGTTGTTTCTCAGGGGTAGGGCTTGGCCCCTTAGTTCCTGTGAAGGGAACTCTTATGGCGTCAGCATACCAAGACATTTAAGAAAAATATGAAAATATAGTGAGCGCTCTCAGTAATTTAGCAGCTGAACATTCAAGGAAAACGCATAAAAGTCCCAAGAAAAATATATATATACAAAAATGCAGCGCTATTAATATATCATGGATAATAATGATGAAACACAGTCCAATAAAAGGTGCTCCTTGATTCCCGGTGCAAATGATAAGAATGCGCACTAACCAGAAAGCGTATAGGTAATACGCATGTGAATAAATATCCTGAAGATTCCCCTCTCCTTTCTGGTCTGATCACGGGAATAGCTGGAAAGAATGAAGATCAAGCGCCCTCGTGTGGTGAAGGAGTGGTCCAGCGGGTCAAAGAAAACTCAACCAAGATAAAGTTCCCCCTCTCAGGAGCTGACACAGGAATCACTCGGGGCTGTAAAGGTTGAAGAAGCTCCTAAGCTCCTGGTTTGTGTCTTGCTTTGGAGGTTGAAGCCTGGTAGTAATGAAAGCTAAAGCAAAGGCCTGGAAAGGGAGTCTTCCCAGTGTGTAACTTAGGCCTCTTCAGCTGGGGCAACTTCCTGACTGTTGCCAGAACTGAGGAGCTTAGGAGCTTCTTCAACCTTTACAGCCCCGAGTGATTCCTGTGTCAGCTCCTGAGAGGGGGAACTTTATCTTGGTTGAGTTTTCTTTGACCCGCTGGACCACTCCTTCACCACACGAGGGCGCTTGATCTTCAATCTTTCCAGCTATTCCCGTGATCAGACCAGAAAGGAGAGGGGAATCTTCAGGATATTTATTCACATGCGTATTACCTATACGCTTTCTGGTTAGTGCGCATTCTTATCATTTGCACCGGGAATCAAGGAGCACCTTTTATTGGACTGTGTTTCATCATTATTATCCATGATATATTAATAGCGCTGCATTTTTGTATATATATACCAAGACATTGTTGACAATTTCATACTTCCAACTTTGTGTGAACAGTTATGGGATGGCCCCTTCGTGTTCCAACATGACTGCACACCAGTGCACAAAGCAAGGTCCATAAAGACATGGATGAGCGAGTTTGGGGTGGAGGAACTTGACTGGCCTGCACAGAGTCCTGACCTCAACCCAATTAAACACCTTTGGGATGAATTAGAGCGGAGACTCTGTGCCAGATCTTCTCAGCCAACATCAGTGCCTGACCTCACAAATACACTTCTGGAAGAATGGTTAAACATTCCCATAGACACACTCCTAAACCTTGTGGAAAGCCTTCCCAGAAGAGTTGAAGTTGTTATAGCTGCAAAGGGTGGGCCAACTCAATATTGAACCCTACGGACTAAGACTGGGATGTCATTAAAGTTCATGTGCGTGTAAATGCAGGCGTCCTAGTACTTTTGGCAATATAGTGTATTTGGCACAGCAGAGACCCTCCCTGGATCAGGAAAATTCTTTTCTATACCCATATATATATATATTTATATATATATATATATATATATATATGCAGATGGTTTACTTTTCATTTCTATTTTAAACTGAATGGGTTGTTTTACAAGGTGTGGGTTTACATATACTTCAATTTGCTCTGACACTTAAGGGTTTACTTACTAAAGCTGGAGAGTGCAAAATCAGGTTCACTTCTACATAAAAACCAATCAGCTTCCAGGTTTTATTGCCAAAGCTTAATTGAACAAGCTGAAGTTAGAAACTGATTGACTACCATGCACAGCTGCACCAGACTCTGAGTGAACCAGCTTTAGTAAATCCTCCCCTTAGTGTCATGTGCATGTAAAGGCAGAAATCCCAATACTTTTGGCAGTATAGTGTATGTTCCTTGATAAAAGAACATTATTTTTTCAAGTTGTTTTGGGTAAAGTTTCATTTAAAGTGGAATTACAGTCTATACCTAACTAATCTTAAAAACGTACCTGTTTTCAGGCTGCTTCAGTCCGCTCACATCATCTGGCTCCCCTGTGTCAGTCAGTGGCAGTTGCATGGGAGTGGAGGGAGCACTGACAACGGATGGACTAAGAGCCTTTGGGTGAAGTCACTGCTGTCAGGCACTCCACACTGCAGCAACCACTAGCTTACACAGGGGAGATTAGGTAACTGGATAAGAGTGGCCTGAAAATATATAAGTATATATTTATTTCTTACAGAGGTTAGTTAGCATTGTACTGTAATTAGGAGGGTGCTTAAGGGAACATTTCTAAGATTGGTTAGATATAGCCTGGAATTCCACTTTAATACTTCATTGCTCAACAATCAGCAATTAATGACTGCACACAAAAATGTGAAAAAAAAAGAAATTATTCATGTAAAATAAAATTTTATATAAAAGATAAGGTTCTGTTTCATAGGTTTAGATTGTTTTTAAAATATATGTTTTTAAGAAAAGGACTTTACTGGAAATATCCCATATGATTATTTTAAACTAGCTTAAAAAAAGTGTGAAAGGGGCCTTTTGTGTATGGAGAAGTCATGCAGAGACCAGGCTGCACTTATTTTATATAGGTATAACTAGCAATCTTTACCTATCTCTACAGAACTGCTTTCTGCATTAAGCTTGAAATTTGTTTGAGTTTAAAGAAATACATAAATCAAGATAAAATCGCCAGTAAACACAAGAGTCAATGTGTGAGCACTTGCTGTACACCAAAGGTAAAATTTACAAATCGGCCTCCTTCAGCTGTGGCTATGGGGGGAGGGTTTACTATTGGACAGAACTGCATGCTGATTTATGTGTACCTTGTCGTTTGGAACGCATATATTGTCAGACAAGGACATCCAATCGTGTGTAAAGCAGTGTAACCACTTTCCCTCTAGAGGATTTTCCCCCCTTCCTGACCAGGCCATTTTTTGCTGTATGGCGCTGCGTTACTTTAACTGACAATTGTGCATTCATGCAACGCTGAATGAAATTTATGTCCTTTTTTCCCACAAATGGAGCTTTCTTACTGTGGTATTTGATCACCTCTGCGGTTTTTAATTTTGTCATAAATTTAGTCCAAAATGTATTCTGCTACATGTCTTTGCTAAAAAAAATCCCAATACGTGTAAATTAATTGGTTTACGTGAAAGTTATGCAAATGGAGGTATATATACTGGAATTTTAAAAAAAGGGTTAACTATGTGCTGTGTGTGTTTTACTATGTGTGTTGTGTGTGTTTTACTAGGGAGGCATGCTGTTTTGTATTTCTCTGCTTTGCAGAGAAATACAAAACAGCATGTCCAAGCTGACAGGGGAGAGACCTGTGTTCTTTACATACAGGTCTCTCCCCTGTCAGCTTTGCACAGCGATCGCCAAGTGCCAGCGGTGAATCTCCGGCTGGGACCCGTTGATTGACATGCCTAGCGAGCGCTCCCTACCCAGAAATGCAAATCATGTGTGTGTATGTATATATATATATATATATATATATATATATATATATATATGATTTTTTGCAGCCCTGCCGCCCTGTAGCTGTACTTCTGCTATAGTGCGGTGGGGAAGAAGTAAAAAAATAAAGCTTCTCTTATCTCCCTTGCACCATCTGCAGCCTGTATGATGAACACATGCTAGCAAGCTACGGAGTCCAGTCAACAAACAAGTAATGGCTGCAGAGTACAGGCTTGCAAGCTGTCAATGTTAAGAGATGGATAACCTGTTGGTGCCACTGTGGTCCACAGATATGAAGCCACTGGGTGTCTACCAGGAAGTAGTAGGTATCAGGAACTAGTCTCCATCTGGTGCTGGCTGCTGGAAGGGTATATAGCTCCTCCTCAGCTCTCAGTGTCTCAGTGTTTTACTTGCTTGCCTATGTTCTCTGTTCCTTAAAGTGTTACTAACCCACATCAGTAAAATCAGTCTGTATATGCAGTAAAGCATGTTTGTTATACTTACTGTGGAACCTAAGGGGTTAATCCTCTGCATTGTGTAAAAAGGCTGTTTGATCCTTTCATCTCTGTTCCTCCCCTTTTTCAAGTGACCACCTCTTATCTCCAGACTGAACTGTAGGCATGCACATGCTTAGTTTGGTGTGTATTGCTAGAGAGGTTTTTTTCTTGGGAGAGTGCATGTGATCAGCACAGAGCCAATCAGCACTGTCCAGACAGAGGTCAGAGGATTTCCATCCTCTTAGAGCAGAAAGAAAACTCCTACAAGCTTTAGCTAATGCTGGGCTGGACACAGAAGCCACAAGACTGCTCTAACTGCTAATGAGAAATGGTATTTAGCAGTTTATATTTTCTGAAATAGTTGCATTTCCATGTTCTGTGTACTATGGGAGACCAGATATAGTGAATGCAGGGTCCTGGGTTTAGTAACACTTTAAATTCTGTGATCCTAATCTTTCTTCCTGTGAATTTGACTTCCATTCTGGCCCTGTTTCTGACCTGTTTTACCCACTGCTCCTTGCACTCCCTTACCTGGCCTTGCTTTACCTGATTTGTTCTGATCTTGTATGGTTAGTACTTTGCATGTGTGTTCATAGGTGTTGCATTGTTTGCTGTGTTTATGTTGTTTTCCACCTGTGTCGAGTGCCCAGTAAACATTATTTTTTTGCTTGGGGTGAACTCATACTGCATCGCAGAGCAGCAGGAGCAATTCAGCACTTTGGCCGCTCTGCATTGCCGTTTGTACTAGGGGGAAGTGTGATGTGTGATTCAGGGCATCACAAGGCTCCCTCCTTTTTTTTTTTTTTTTTTTTTGAACAAACGTCGTGTGAACTGTACAAAACTTTCACTGTAATGTCAGGCAGCGATCTGACACTGTAGTGCGATTCGGCCTGCTAAGCCGCATTGCACTGTAAATGGGAGAATTGTTTCCTGTGTCCCTGCAGAGACAGACGTTTTACCATTCAGTAAAACTACTGTCACAGCATATAGTGTGAATTGGCCCTTAGTTCTTAGTCCGGCTCCACGTGTCTGGTTACCTCTGCACAAGGGATCTGTCACTTT